CGCTCTTTACGCTACCCAGGAGGGGGGGGGAGGGTAGTGGATATTCATACATCGCCACTACACGGATAGAAACATTCGACGCACTTTTGAAACGGCCGCCTTTCCTCCCGCCTACCACTGCAAGAAAAATTTGCCATAAAGATCCCATCGTCGGAGAGAGTAATTTAGTCTGGGAACGTTTATTTCGTCATTTTTGGGGGCTATCATATTGTTCCAAAATTTCCCACAGCTGCCTCTTACGGCCTCCAAGAGATGAAATAGGGTTAAATTCTCGTATGCCACTTACACACGGCAGAAAATCGTAATATAAATTCAATTCGACATTTAATTAAGTATCAGTTACCAAAACCAGATTAAAAAAATGTAAATAATAAAAACAGAGCAATATGAACTTCATTAGCACTTAAATCGTACATTCAACCAATTACATGTAACGTTAACTAATTGTAAGAAGCTTTAGCTCAACATAAATGTGTGAAATACTTAATTGTCTTTTTTTTGTTCTCTTATCGGTTTTAACTATTATACTCGTAATACACAAAAGGAGGTAAATCGCGTCCTATATACGCTATGATTGGTGTGGGCGGGATAAGATTTCTCGCGGACGTGACAATTGTGCCAGCGACGTGACACCGACGAGCTGTGATCTCACCACTGTGCATCTGTAGATTTAACAACAAGCTCATCTTATAATAGACATAACTGCTTTAATAATAAATTAACATGCGTATATTAAAACAGTCGATGTTTATTACAAGGAAATGCACATTGAAACGAATCTTATTTAATAACGAAAAGTTAAAGTTACAGCCTCCATACGTCCCACTGCTGGGCACAGGTCTCGTCTGCCCCAATGCGTGTTAACGGACTTCACATTTTTCGAAATATTTTTATTTTATCATTTTAGTTCGTTTTAAGTTGTCACTTGTCACTAAGATAGAATGCCTCGTTTCCAGTAAAAGGGGTTTCCGGTTTACTACACTCACCATACGAAACACGCTGCTTTTTCACACTAGTATTCTGTGAGAGCGTGGTCCTCTGCTCCGGTGGAGACAACACATTTGTGTCGTGCTACAATCATAATATAGCTGCAAAGACACTCTACCACGTATATACTTACGGTCTATAATTCCGGAAATTTAGTGAAATTTGGCTAATACATTAGAGGTTATATATTACGAAATATTTTTAATGAGTAATAAAATATTTAAACCAAAAGCGTATGTTCTATGTACACTTGATAAACTTAAATTTTGGTATGAAACAAGTAGAAGGATGGGTAATAAATTAAACGACAACGAATGATATAACATAGAGTAAGCATTTCATTCCAATGCCGCTATAACAGCTGTCGCTATAATGTCTAATAGCTGTAGAATAAGAGTGAGTATGAAATAATATATTGAATCTATACAATTCTTAACCCAGTTCACTGCAGTGATAAATGATCATGTGGTCATCTCCCAATTTACCTAGCACGACGTCTGATAGATAAAGTTTTACCACACACAACGTTTTAACATTATTAACTGTGATCTATATTTAGTGCATTCTGACACAGCATTCTATGAATTATGAGATGGTCTTGTTGTGCCTACACCGTCACTAGTTACCCTACATTTCGTAGAAACATTGCTCGTAGGCCGACCTCTAATTATGTTCAACAAAAACATGATATTGACAATGAGATTGGTATGAGCAAGCAGTTGAGTAAGACCAGCATTTAGGGCCTGAGTCACGTACCTATTTAGAGTAATTGCTAGTGCCCATTCCATGCTAAACATTTAAATAAGGAAAATTATTTAAACACCCAATTACTCGTGTGTAACGTTGTAAATTGCATCAATTATCTGTTTGCTAACACAAAACTTAATTGTATTTAACAAAATTATCCACAATTTAAATTTTTTTCTTAAATGGTATACAATTTACTTCTTTTATTTGTTGGGATATGCTCCTTACATGTAGTACCGCAAGCTACAAATAGTGCTTTTTTATAGGATAGGGTGACAAACGAGCACACAGTCCACCTGATGGTAAGTGGTTGCTGTGGCCTATAGACATCTACATCTATCCTCGATTACGAATCAAAATGCAGATGCGTTGTCGCCCGTGAGGACTAAGACGGAATGCCTCGTTTCCAGTAAAAAGGGTCTCCGGTTCTCTACACTCACCATACGAAATACAGCAGCATTAAGCTACTATTTCACGCTGGTATTCTGTGAGAGCGTGGTCCTTCCCCGGTCGAGCCGACCCATTCGTGCTACAACTATACTACTAATATAACTGCAGCATGCCTCTACCACGTTATAAATTGCTTGTATTTATCTACTCATATCTATTTTCTCTTAGAACATTCGATCGTTTCTGCCTTGTTCAGAGAATCTTAATAACCACAAATACATTCAATTCCCCGTTACGGCCTATTAAAGTCTACTGCTGAACAAAGGCCTCCACCATAGATTGCCTCAAAGGGAGGATATTTGCCATAAGTGCCACCTTCGCAATTTTTATTTTATTTTAGTCGTTTGTTTCCCTCTGCCGCCTCTTACGACACCCACGGAATGATATAGGGTAGTGGATATTTTTACACCGCCACTAAACGATATTCAATGTCTAAAAATCTATAATGTAGATAAAAATTCTTCGTCTAGTGACTAGGACTCACCATTTGGTACACAAATTGTACGCTAACCACTCAGCCAGCCGCACCTCGACAAAATTTGCAATAACAAAACAAGCAATAAATTTCTTGGCGATTCAATTAAGATGCCCCATCGTAATCATCACGATATAAGCGATACATTCACTAATTTACATATTCAAGACAGCCGGTTGCCGAACGGCTGACCTGTTTACACTAGTGGACTAGTCTAGAATTAAAAGAAGGAAAAAAACTGTCATAAAACGGGCACATTAATCAATGTGTCCTAATTGTCGTCTGGTTTTGGCAATTATGAATATTGAATATGAACACGTACGTCGTACATGTATAACATTATATATGTAGGTAGTACAATAACGCTTGATGAAATTAAATCTGTTAATACTTAAACACTCCATGACAGTTCAAGGCGACAAAGCGTGCGCATGGCGCCTGTGCTCCAAGTGTTGGCCGAGAGTGCGACAGTCATTTTATCGTATCATTTTTACAGCTGCACTTACTCTTTAAGATTTATCACTGATGAATGCACAAGTTGTTAGAATTCATTGTTTATTTTGTATAAACAACAAACATGTTTCGATAACAAAAGGCTTGTTAGAGTGAAACAAAAAACATAAATCATGATAATCGTCAAATATTGTTTATACTTCCTTTAAAAGAAATGGTTAAGTAAATAAATTATATTTTATGTCTATATAAATGCTATTCACTCATTGAACACAATGTTTCATTTGCGTTCACTACCTTTATTTTAAGCAATTCTGCTGTATCGTAAGTAGGCTTTTTTGACGTGGAGAATCACCTCTAGAAACAGAGACAGAAACTTCTACTCAATATAGATTATAAATAATACTTATTGAAAGTCACTTTTTTAATTTACCTCTGGTTCAGAAAAACCTCTGTCTTGGAAAGAACCAGCTAGAAACCCAGCGGGACCAGAACAATTATTTATTTGTGGGTCATGTTAGTTTTATACGGGAGTCGAATCCGCGCAACGTAACGCCACAGCTTATTCTTACCAGTTCACTATAAGGTACATTTAAGGTACATTTTAAACGTGGTAGATCGCCATGCTGCAGTTATATTAGTAGTAGAGTTGTAGCACGAAAGGGTCAGCTAGACCGGGGAAGGACCACGCTCTCACAGAATACCTGCGTAAAATAGTAGCTTAATGCTGCTGTGTTTCATATGGTGAGTGTAGAGAACCAGAGACCCTTTTTACTGGAAACGAGGCATTCCATCTTTTTCCTCACGGGTGACAACGTATCTGCATTTAGATTCGTGATCGAGGATAGATGTAGATGTCTATGGGCCACAGCAACCACTTACCATCAGGTGGACTGTGTGCTCGTTTGTCACCCTATGCTATAATTTTTTTAAAGTAAACAAATTCATAAACTACGAGTAATAAGTTGTCGAAGTTGTATTTTTTATCACCGCCTTAATGGTGAGAGAATCTGGATATTATGCCGCGAATTATAGATACAAATTCCAGCTGGGGTCTAAGGTTTCTATTTTCTATGCAATATTTAAATCAGGTAAAAGTCGTTTTTTTAATTTGAAAATTATTTTACGTCTTTGAGTGGACTAAGCAGTATTACAACTTCAAGTTAACAATTATAATTTCGTCTAAGTAGTAATAATCAAAACCTTATCCTCTATTTTCCAACTCTTAAAGACGGATATTTTAACAAAAAAAGAAACATAAAATTCGGTTCACATTAATTGGCGAAGATATAGCATATTATACATACAAAAAATACAGTCAAATCGAAAACATCCTCTTCTATAATTCTGCTAAAAAACTCTAATTATTGACTTCTGGGTTTGGTTATTTTGATTGTTGTTGTTTCTGACCCAGCCACATCTACTGTCCCTCTCGCATGACCCATCAGGTACACTAGGACCAGCGAGTGTCTGTATTTGCGCGTACAATACACTCTTCCGATTATTCGAAAGTTGTCTAAAATCGGCTAGGAGGACATGATAACGTCCAAGCTATGACGAAAAAGTATAATAAAAATTAACGTGAAATAAAAAAGAAGAATAATGGTTTTAAGATAGTTGTAAAGGCCGCCGGGCCATCACCACACTACTCATTAAGTTAAGTTTGGCGACGTCGAAAATGTTTATAAATATTAAATATAATAAAATAAAAGTGTCCACGATGACATATATAAAATCCTTATTACCTACGTTATAAATCATACACGTTTCGTATATTCACGAAATTAACGGTATTAAACTTGACAATCAATAAAACGGCTTTCGCATTCGCATACTAGGCATTACCCGTTAATACCTACCCACATTAAAAATAAACCATTAGACTGACCTGCTTACGATGGCTGTATTTTAACCCAACACAACACTAAAATAAACAGGTAGAAAAACACACACAATCACCAAGAGACGTGAATTAAAAATCACAATAAATAACGTTTTTCGCAACTCGGCAATCGATCTCAAAGATCGATAAGTTTTGATGCAAACAACGAATAGCATTCGAGTCGATCGACGCAACCTCCTTACTACGAGGCGTGTGCGCGAATGAATGGATGGCTAGCCAGTTCGCCAGCCAGTGCCTCCAAACCAAAGTAAAGAATGTTGACGGCATCCATCGATTGAGGAATGTAATCTAAAATCCCAGAGAAGCTAAAGGCTAAAGGGACTAAGGATCTATTAAAATAAATTATAATTATAAACCTTCAATTAAGGTTCACGAATGATTTTAATCTTTATTTGGGGCAGTAAAATATCTTTATCTTATTAGTACAGGTTTTTCATGTACTGTTATCTCATCAAAGGTGTTAATTAAAATTTATCTCAATAAAAACAATTTTGACATACCTTTGAGAATGTACTCGAATACTTTTAAGCGTAGTGATAATATTCTTTGGATGTAATCTTTAAATACTAGTTGACCTGGCAGAGGGCAGACGTTATTCTACCCTTTCTGGTTGGTCATGCGATGAGCATTGATTTATATATTACACGATGAGTTTCATTTTCACAGACACACTTTTCTATACATTTTTCTATATTAACGTAACACATATAGCTAAATCGTCTTTTTACTAATAGGAACACCACAACCATTACGACGATAAACTTTAAAAAAAAAAACCTTCTTTTTTAGTCTTCCGAAAGCGGATAAAAAGTTGCCTATATGTTACACGCCATCATTTACTGCCGACACACCAAATTTCATGGAAATCCGTTCAGTAGTTTTTACTTTAATAATTTTTCTGCAGATTCATTATATGTATATAGATTAATAAACGTCTTAGATCAGGTGATTGAAAATATGATGTTTGATAAGCTGTAATTAATGTTTTAATTCAGTGACAAATAGTGTCACCTCAAGGTGTTTACGTTTAAATATGTTTACTTGGTTAATACAATCTAAATGACGTCACATACGAATAGGCTAGCGTCTTGATATCGACAGAGGCTGACGTATTCTAAAAAAGTTTTCGACTATCTATTTCGTTAAATTATACCTAAGGTTATAAACTAAATATGTTTTAAATTATAGGAAACAAATCAGTTATATAAAAGTAACGTTCAGTTCTCGCACTCCTGGGCACAGGTTTTCTGAGGAGATTTTAGTGCAAAGAAGTGTTCACCACGCTGTCTCTTTGCCATTAAAATTTTTCTGCTCAGGGGCTAAGTGCTACTTGTAAATTTAGTGGAGTTGATTCAACTCTACTAAATATACAAATGGTGTGCTACCCGCCGGCAACAGTGAAATTGTTAATTACAATTTTGAGTGCTGATTTATCAGGTGCTGAAAGAAAGCATCATGAAGAAGCTTGCACGTATAAGAAATAATAATAAAACTGTTTATGTAATTTATGTTTTGATTTTGCTCATCGGTGAGGCCTCTAAACTTATGTAGTCTCCTGATTGAAATAATTATGAAAAGGTCACAGGGCAATAATTGTACAACTGCTAGGACACATTAGGATATTTTTAGTCTTTATTGTTTGACTAATTTGGTTAAAGTTCTTCAAAGCTTAAGACACAAAAATCCAGACTTACAAATATTGGCTTTAGAGTGGATTAGAACTGAATTTCGGTAAAAGGCAACGACATTTATTTTGGCAACTTACATCTCTTTATGTATCATGTTTATAAGAAAGAAAAAGGAAAACTTAAAATAGTAAGTGTTTGTGTGTGTTGTAACGAAGTTGCGTTAGGGACCGTCTCAACATTCGGGGTAGGATAAAATTAAGATAGATTAAATTAGGTCTTTAGGATAGGAACGTTGATTTTTTGTCTAACTCAAGCGTTGTACGGATTAAACGTATCGGATGATTTGTGCAGCCTATTTACGTACCACTACACGTAAGGTGAGGATTTTGTAGCTGTGCAGGACAATTAATTACAGCCTATTAATTTTAGTCATTAGAGGATATCCACCATCAAATGAGCTGCATGCACGTCTTATGCCTGCCGACGATTTCGAATCGTATCTTAGAAATAATTATAATATTCATATAATAATATTAATATGGTTCAGTAAGGAAGGTACTCGTCGAGCCATTACTGATTGTACTAACAATAAAATTTTCCTGCAACGTTGGTTTATAATATTCAGTAGGTATAAAGTTTCCGAAGTATTCAATTATTCTTATTGACGCTTGAACAACGACGTATCAATATCACAAACAATACCGATGTTATATGGTTATTGTGTATGAAATCTCGTAACAGCAATTTTTGTATTTTTTTTTTAATAGAATAAGGTTGACAAACGAGCACACAGTCATTTTCATTTAAGATCCATTACAATTGAAAAAGTAGATGAGTTGTCACACTTGCGGACTAAGATGGCCTGTATCCAGTAAAAAGAGTCTGCGGTTCTCTACACTCACGATACGAAATACGGCATCTATTTTACGCTGGTATTCTGAGACAGTGTGTTCCTTCACCGATCAGAACCAGAAACGAAACTTTATTCAATATAGATTAAAAGTAATAATTATTGAAACTCACTTTTTTTAAATTTATCACTGGTTTGGAAAAAAACTCTGTCATGGGAAGAACTAGCAAGAAACGCAGCGGGATTTTAAAATAACAGCTTACGGCCTGGCCAATGGGATCGGCGGCGCGAAAGGCGAAGCGACAGGCGGGGCGAAAATTCGCGCGGCGCGATTTGAGGGCCACGGGAAGTCACGTTTGCCGCCGCGACCAGATAGGCCGAGAGTGAAATGTCTTTATCAAAGTTATCTCGATATTGCTTAGAAAGTAATTGTTTTTTGATTCAAGACATAATATTTGGAAGAGATTGCGGAGTACATGATTTCAATAGAAATTGGGTTAGAGATGGAGAATTCCACAACAAATAGAATGCATCTAGAAAAAAATTTCGAGTAAATACCAGAATGAGTTCTTTTAAAAGTCAACGTTGCGGATAGAATTTTAAGTTGTTTTTGTCGGCCCGGCATTTTTCGCGGCAAAAACAACTAAAATATTTTGTTCCCTATACTACTCGCCGCGTCTGCCGCCCGACTCCGTGGCTTGCACCGTACTGATTCATACATTTGTTTCATTTGTCCGCCGCGCCGCCAGTTGCCTGCGCGATTCGCCCGATAAATTTCGCCGGTCGCGTCGCCACTCGCCGCTACGCGTGGCTTGCTCCATACATTTGTTTTAGTCGTTAGACGCCACGCCGTTCGCGCCGCGCGAATTTTCGCTACGGCGAATGTCCCGTGGCCAGGCTGTTACAATCATGTATGTTACAATTAACAACACCTAACAAATTAGAAATAGCTTGGTAGCAATCACCCTTCCCAGGGATTATTATCGTCCGTAAATTCCTTAATAATATGATAATAATTTTTATACAAACTTAGTTTGAAGTTTTTGAACTTTGTGCAGGTCAAACTTTGTAATTACACATCTGCGTCTAAGTATACGAATAAGGTTTGAAAGGTATACTGCAGCTATTCATGGTTATAGTATGAATATATAGGACCACACTCTCACAGAATACCAGCGTGAAATAGTAGATTAATGCTGCTGTGTTCGTTCGGTAGTTGTAGAGAACCGGAGACCCTTTTTATTGAAAACGAGGCATTCCATGTGAGTCCTCAAGAGGACAACGCATGCATTTTGATTCTTAATCTAGATATAGATGTCTATGGACCACATCATCCACTTACCATTAGGTGGACTTTGTGCTCGTTTATCACCCCTATACTATAAAAAAACAACTTGATGGATTTTTGTGACCCGCAACCTAAAATTTTATCGAGCAAACGAGTTTGATCCCTGCCGTCACAAATTAACTGCTTAGTTGCAATTTTAACAAAGACTATCTACGTACAAAACTAAACTAAACTAAAACTATTCCACAGAGGTCGTACGCGGAAGAAAACTCCTGTTTGTTACCCTCTTGTCACCCTCGGAACGATAAGGGGTGGTATATAATTCTTTCACCGCCACTTCACGTAGAATTTAAAAGATTAAATGATTTGTTTTAGACTATTTACGAAAAAAATATGCTAAAACGAAAACTGTAATAATAATATCCTCCAGACCCAATTTCAGTTACGGCGGCCAACCTCAACGGAGACTAGATATCGGCGCAAGACAAGATTATAGTGCCAAAGTATTCTTGTGGCCCGAGTGTATGCGCAAGCACGGGTACACTCTCTACTCCCTCAGTGTCATAGTCTGATGGGACGGTAAACCGACACGACCGGAGAGAGATCAGGCGCAGAACCAACGCCTTTACGTGCTTTCCAAGGCACGGGGGTGAGACGCCGGCAACTTTCTAGTCAAATAGTGATTTTTTTGGCCCGACCTGGTATTCAATCCTCATGAACAGGAGCCGCGTTCACAATCACTAGACCAACGAGGCAGAAAACTGTATTATTGCTCTTTAAATACTACGATCCGGTTGTAATTGTTTGCTATTGTAACATTGATTAGTGTTTTGTACCGCGACCTCGATCCGCTGCTTCTCAACCTGTCGTCCTATAATAAATCACTTCTCCATACAATACAAACAATTCATTTGTTTGTCAGTTACCAGTCATCTCAGCCGTCGATCAATCTAAAACGCTTCGCAAAAAATCTCCTGGAAAACACATTAGCTTCTAATTTCTTTGCTATCATTGTTTATTGACGAAGTATCTGTAAAAATATTTTTTTTAGTAAGCTATTATTTTTTCATTGCTAATGAAAAAGCCTTAACCCTATCGCTCACTGTGGGCAAAAATTAGTTAAATAAATTTATTAACTATTCTAAACCTTACAGGTTAACTTAAAGTAAAAAAATCTTATAAATTATGGATCAGCTTGTACATTTAGACTTTTGAAAAAACTAATAGTTTTAATTAAAATTTAAATGATTTTTCTGCAGAATCGTGATTACCGCTACTGCTACAGCCTTTTAAAGTCCATTGCTGATAGAACCTCCCCATAGTGCTGCGTTGACGTTGTCTTATGGGGAGGTATTATATTATGGTTGAAGCACAAATGGATCGGCAGACCGGGAAAGGACCGCGCTCTCACAGAATACCAGCGTAAAATAGCAGCTTAATACTGTTGTGTTTCGTATGGTGAGTGTAGAGATCCGGAGACTCTTTTTTACTGGAAACGAGGCATTCTATCTTAGGCCTCAGGGGTGACAACGCATCTGCGTTTTGATTCTTAATCTAGGTTAAATGTAGATGTCTAAGGGCCACAGTATCCACTAACCGTGGACTGTGTGCTCGTTAGTCATCCTTATTCTATAAAAAATAAGAAGATATTTACTAGAGTTACCACGCTTAGCAGGCGAATTCACAACCGCGTCTTTTTTATTCCTAAGTTGTTGTTAAGAAGACGCTGCTGCCAATCTCATGGTTTGTTCTCCTCTCACGGGATTATATGGAGTAGTGGATATTCTCACACCGCCACTGCACTGTGAAATATATGATTATGATCTATGATATATGATAAATCCTGTTTCATTGACATGTTGACAGTAAAGAATCATGTCCAATCTTGACCTGAAAATTTCCCATCGCGTCTAGTGATGTAAAATATCTTATAAAATTTCATATTTTTTTCTCATTCCGTATCGCATAATTGTATTTTCAAAAAAAGCCAGGAAATAAAAGTAATGTTACTTTGCTTATCATTCTCAATAGACTTTTGGAGACGGAACGTGTTTTACAATGGCTCAAAGGCCCAGAAGCCACGCCAAAATACATTAAAAATGTGTTTTACACGTTCCGTTTCGGACTACGAAAAACTTGCTCATTCGTCATGTGGTTTATGAATGTTCAAAATAACCAATTTCTTTTTTTTTGTTACTAATTATTTTTTTTATGGTTGGATACGATTTTTAATGGTTTTGTACTACGGTGTGGAAAGAAAAATAAGTATTCAGACCTTATCTGACAGCTGTTATAACATCAAACTTTTATTTAATAGCATTTTTCCGTGGCCTCTAAATGAAAAGATGATAAGCTAATATGTTATTATAAACAATAATTGTTTTTATACAACAGTAGTTGAAGGTAGACGCGACCTGTTAAAGGAATTAAGTGACAGGTCATTCAATGTATGGAAAGTGGTCATGATTCTTTCAAAACATTTATCAATATCATCAGTTTTAAAGTCCATTGTTGCACACGTACGTACGGTTTTTGAAGGAACTTCAGCCCTGCATGTTAAGTATGCCCTGCGTTATATCTTTGATTTATTGGATTTTTGGTGCTCATCTCTTTTTGATTGAGAATTTTCTTTCAGCTGCTTTTATACGTCACATTACATAATGTGCGACGATTTGTAGTTTTTCTTCGAGAAACCAATTACGATCTTTTTAGTTTTACGTTGTAATTTAATTAAGCAAGGGTATGAATAAGAAGTGAATTTTGCTATTATATTTTGCATTTTAATTTAATTTTTTATTTTATTAGGTTTATTTAGGTACCATAGAAGAATAAGGTTTCATAAACGTCCCCCAAAAGCATTTTATGTTTTGTAAGTGAGCAAGTTAACGGGCATTCGTTGTTAATGGTCCATTAAGATCGCAAATTCTTAAGACTTAAAGTTTGCTATGTTCCAAAACCTTTTTAGGAATGATGGGAGACACCGCTTCTCAAGACGTGTATAGGTTGCTATTTTGCG